ACTAAACTCTAAAGACGCACGGCTAAATCCGAAACTTTCTGGTTCTAGGTCTAGTGTTAGTTCTAGTTTTAGTTCAATAAAAATATGCAACATAGTGATATTTTATGCTAACTAGCGCTACCTATCACCTATCAGCCGTCTTAACTGGACGTCTAAACGGAATGTTTCTAGTTCTAGGTCTAATGTTAGTTGTAGTGCTAGTATTAGTCTAGTTTTATTTATTATTCAGCGCTAGATTGTATATTTTTATTGAGCTATAACGGACACTACGTTCTCCGTATTGATCCGTTGTATCAAGGTTTTACTCTAATGTCAAATTATATTGATATGTTGCATTTTATGTGGGACAAAGTAAGTAGGTAGGCCCTGGAAAAGTGAAATTCACTGTAAATAATATGAAGAATTGTGCATGATTAAGTTATTCTGAATAGAAGCCTGATACCCGTTAAATAACCCGATCGGTATCGCCACACAATCTATGAATTATGCGAGCCTTGGGCGGCTTTGCATTGTTGGCAACGCCGAAACACAAAGAAACTAATAAATCTCACAAACGGTCCAACGATGAATAGGCGAGTTCGGACGTTCGCCCTTATTGCTGAGACTCTGCCCGGTTTTCCCATTCAAATCGACACTCGTGATGTTTCAATGGGATTTTGGAAAGGATTGCCAAATCGACGTTAGCCCGATTTAATCGCTTTGTTGAACCTCTAGCTCAAGCTTTCAGCGTATGCATCCATTTTTGCGAAATAGAAAAGAATCTGATGAATTATTTCATATAGTTTATGGAAATATGTTTGGTTAACAAAAACATCTTTTATTTCTACTATCATTATAATTAACATTTATGTGAAATTAGATTTTAAGATATCACGTTCTGGACAAACCACATATTAGTAGTACGAGTTTCGATGTTTGCAACCCAGCTACCCATGCTAGAAAGCTTATTCGTACAGCTTTGCCAACTACTCTAATTAAAGTTTGGCAAAAGCGCGACGAAGCCCATTAAACCGCGTTTACTGCGTCGCGTGGTGCATGCACAGGTGTGCTTAAAGAAACTAATGAGTGCCGGGTAGACACAAAAACTAGGGTTCCTCTCATCAACACCCAACGAGACTTGTTTGCCGTAGTCGTGCATAGAAATGCTTTTTATCTTCTCTGTATCACACCTTAATCTGAATTACGAGCGGGTAACGAGCAAGCTGGAATTTACGGATTAATTAAAACCGGTAGATGGTGCCAGTATTTCTTCTTGGGGGTGGCTTCTCGCGGGTGTTGCTATTGTGCGTTGTGAAATAGGACCGGAATCAGGACAATGCCCATAACTAAATTGGATAATAGGAGTAACCTTTCATCAAGGTTGAACTAACTTAATGGCGCGATGCGCGTTTCACGGGCATTACTCTATTTAGTGTTTGAAGAGGCACTTAATCTTTTATGACCGGGGTGTTAAAGCAGCCGCGCTATCGGACACCACTGACGCCACCACTAAATTGACGCGTAAATCATCCGTTTATGTGGTTTTCTTCGCTATTCGGGTAACTATTGATAACAACACAATAATAATAAACAAAAAAGATTTATATCCTTGGTTTCCTTTTTTTTTTAAATTAAATTTTCGATGGAGATGACTCTAATATACCAGATTCAAACAAGCAACTCCGTGAAATGAGGACTTAACTATTTGCGGAATGAGGTTTCTGGTTAACTATGCGGTAACAAATTGGCAGTATTGAATGTTCACTTGCTGTATATTGGAATAGTTTTAGCGCGATCTTATAAATCTTTTAATTTAATTTCAAAATCAAACTGATTTATTAATGAAATCATTAATTACTTAAAACTACCAAAAAGTATTACGTTTTTTTATCAATTTTAGTTTAATAAGATTAAGGTATAAAGTTTTGGTAGCACAAAAAGCTTTTCTGGTTAGATTCGCCTATTTAATCGTTAAAGAAAACTAAAAGTAAAAAACTCTTTAGGTTTTATGAACAAGTAAAAATAAAGTTAATAGAAAAATAAAGATGTTGTAAATTGTATTAAACTAAAATTAAGATAAAGTCACTTGTGCTAAACAATATGCACATCTTATGTTTACACGTAATGCCTTGCAATTTTATTGAGAACTTGACCATATACCTCTGGAAGCCTTATTTGTGTGGCTGAACAGAAAATACAGCAAAATAAAAAGTCATTACACAGAGGGTAGCGTTACTTCGAGATGGCATTATATTGTTATTGTTACATCTTGATGGATAAAGTTTTAAAACAACCCAACGCAGCTAATTTTCAAGGTATTGATTACGCTGACCAATTCTGAATAGAGGAAAATACACTACCGTAGTCTTCCACAAAATACAAGAAGCTTGACCCAACTTCAAAAGAAGCCAACTCAACCACAAAGTTATAAAAAACTCCGAAGACATAAATTTTAGACTATGCCAATATAATCAAATGCTCTCCAACTCTAAAGCAAAGCAACCCCAAAACAAACCAACCCAAATTTATTTGAACTTAAAGTTCACACATCTCTGGCTTGGGTTGCTTTGAGAACACAACCTCAAAATAACAAAGATAACTCTAAAGCAACCCAATCCAACTTCAAAGCAAACTATTTGAATTTAAAGTTGACATGTCTTTGGCTTGGGTTGGTTTGAGAATACAACCTCAAAGCAACCAAGACAACTCTAAAGCAACCCATTCCAACTTCAAAGCAAGCTAACCAAAGTTGCTAAACAACAACCTTAAACAGCAAGCTAATTAAATCTTATAGAAATTCTACTCAAAAGTTACAAAATCAGAAAGTAACACAAATCCAAGCCAACTCATTGCCAAACTAACCTAACACAATTCTATGTGTATGAGTTCTAAGTATTTTTAAAGACCTTGATTTCTCTTCTTGCTGTTGATATACTACTTTTCTTGTCTATTATATGTTTCTGGTATTTGGCCACTTGATGTTACTTAGATCTGCTTACTTATCTGGTAGTTTGGTCTCGACTAATAGTGTTTCTAGAACTTAGCCGGTGTACCTTACAGTATCTTAGTGTCCTAACTGCTCTATATTATGAGACTAACACAACAGAACAATATGACGGTGCTGAATAAAAGTTATAAGACGGTGCAGCAAATCTAAAAGACTTAAGTTTTAAGTATCTTGAACATGAATGACCGATCATGGTCAGTCTGGTCATGATCATGGTCAATCTGGCACAGACAGATTTTTTCGGGATACTCCCAGTGTCCTTGCTGGTTATTCTGTGACTTTGGCAAGAAAAAAAAAGTGTCGCCGGCATACTCCTGCTACATGGCTTTAATAATCTTAATAAGAAACTATGAAGCCACTCCATGATAATAAATCTAACCAAAAAACGTTTATTTGAACGTGCAGAAAAGCGGAATAAGTTTCAAATATAACATTTTGAAATCTTCTGACCACACGAGTTCACAAATTGAACCCGTAATATCCGCATAGTAACCATGCATTTCACATAAATATTCTAGATGGCGACCTTGGCATAAATATGCGAGTCGGCAACACATAAAGCTCGACAGATCTCGGTGCGGAATACCGAGTGGGCCATAGACCGGAAATGACACTTGAAATGTGAGTCGTAATAAACAGTGTAGGGTGAACCGTCACTCGACGTTTACCACCGTTTCGTATACCCTGCGACACCTAATTTCTACTATTACATAATATCCAAACATGAAGTTCCAATTCTATCTAACAACAATATACGGATACATTATCACCATAATAATCTCGCCCTAACTCTAACAATAAGTAGAGAAATAATCTCGATGATCTCGTGCCTTGTTTTTTAATGAGAACGATTGTAAAGAAACGTGAAACATGTCGTCGAGTCAATCGGGAAAATGGCAAACAAATGTTCTTCGAAATGGAAAAGAACACAGGTTGAATACGAGACTTTCGATTTTCCGGCGGAGGTTGTAAAGTCGCGATTTCAACACGCCGTCGTTCACAATCGGAACGGGGGCTTTTCAGTTCACGTACGCCACTGGAGATTTGCACCTCTCCGCCGGCGTTGCATTTAAATATGGAAGAAATCCCGGCAACCTCGCTCGTCGGAATCTCCTCGTAGATTATTCAAAAAGAAATATCTGATTTGAATACCGGAACGACGTGATATTTGCCGCAGCCGGAGTGGTTGTTCGCGTTACCGCGTCGCAAACAAATTACTCGAATCGCATTTCGTCTCTTTACGGTATTATTCAAGATATAAAATGAGGTCGCTACTTCAATATTCTCACGTAGGTTTATTTTAATTTTAGAAATATTGTTTCTACATGTGTAGAAAAGATCTGAAAGTCTGAAGACGCACGGCTAAACCCGAAACTTTCTAGTTCTAGGTCTAGTATTAGTTTTAGTTTTAATTGTTATGCAGCGCTAAACCAAGAACTAGAATCATTCGGATTTAGCCGTCTTAATTTTAATTTTAGCCGTACGTCTTAAAAGACGTACGGCTAAACCCAAATGTTTCTAGTTTTAGGTCTAATATTAGTTTCAATGACAGCGCAAGTGTAAAACTAGAATTAACACTGTACATAGAACTAGAATCATTCTGATTTAGCCGTCTTTAGAGACGTGTGGCTAAATCCGAATGTTTCTAGTTCTAGTTCTTGTGTTAGTTATAGTTTTGCACTAGCACTATCACTTGACCTAACATAAGACTTAGAACTAGAATCATTCGGGTTTAGCCGTCTTGAGAGACGTGCGGCTAAATCCGAATGTTTCTAGTTCTCGGTCTAGTGTTAGTTATAGTTTTGCACTAGCATTATCACTAGAACTAACACTAGACCTAGACCCAGGAACATTCGTGTTTAGACGTGCGTTTCTCAATCCGGCCACGTGGACTGAACTTTGTTTATAGTTGTCCGAATTTGTGTGCATTCAAATTATTCATTCTCTTCCCTGTATTAATTCGCTATATCGAGGTTTTACTGTACTAACTAACATTAATGTCTTTAATTTACAGAACTTTTATCAGATAGTTGTCCGCCACCACAATTAGCATTAAATGGCACAGAAACTGTTGAAGGCGATAATAGAATAACACAAGATTACAAGCAAGTCAGAGAAGTCAAGTTTTTCGGATCTATTGGTCCTTTGGGAGAGAAGAGGTTGTGTAAGATAAAGTGCATCGGCGGACAGTGGGTTGGTCCGCTATGCGTCAACCAACAAGGTGAGTGTCGACATTTACTGGCAATATTCGGGCTGTTTTTTGTTGACGGCGTCACCTCCAACGAACGCTACCCGGTTTATCTTCAACGAGCAGGCCATATTTTGGCGTCAGAAGCCGCTCGGACCTTGTAACTTGCCCGAAATATGTCCAGCACGTTGCCCAGACAGTTTTACGTCGGTCTCGTAAAAGGGGTAATTTACTGGGGCGACTTTTATCGACGACACCCCAGTGAAAACGTGGACGGTAGGTAGTAAATTCACGCGCCAACCCCCTTCTTCTTTTCTCGGTACACGGATTCCGGCATCGTTTGGACAGTCTATTAAAAACACTCTTCTTGTTTAAGTTACACTATTGTTTTTGTGTTTAACAATAACCAAAGTACGACAGAAGAATTTAAAAAAAACTTTTTTAATCGTTAATTGTATTACGTGACTAAGAAAAAAATGTTACCTTAATTAACGTAGTTTGGTTCAAAAATAACTGTAAATGTTTACAGAAACAAAACAAAAAAAGAATAGTCAAATATAATTTACGTGATACGTTTCAACCTTGTTATAATTCCAAACAGTCCACGTGTTTGTAATGCAATAAATGGGAAAACATGTCCGTTTTACATTCACGTAGGGTCGCCTGTCACACTTGACGCTACCCGTTGATTTATGAGAGCCCTTCCGTACAACGTTACTATTTTTTTAAAATTTTTTTAGTAATGTTTCTGTATTTTAATTATTTACCTTCTCGTCCCAGCGAAGTTACACACTCAACTAGAAAATAGATAAACTTTTCATTGTATACATTTACTTCATACATACCTACTCAGCGGATGTGTTAGAAAGAAACCTCATAAATGAAACAAAATGTTTAGATTTTACCATGAATCTTTTTGTATTAAGGAATTTAGGTCAACGATTTCTCTCTTCCGCCTCCTTTCCACTTAGCTTCCGGTATGCTATCAAAAATTTTTGCCAGGTGGTAAGACTAACATCATTAGCTACCTTCCCCGTTGGTCTTAGGACGGAGTTTACGGAAACGGATTCTACTAAACTGGATGATATTAAGCTAATAAAGACGCCGGAAAAAGAGTTAAAAAAGGAAAGAAACTAAACAAAAGAGTAGTAGAGAGTCGTTTTGACGGACGCTCCTCGGCTTTCGAGGGCTAATTGGGTTTGTGGGAGCACACTGAAACTTCCTTTTTCGTTGCCTCGTAGTAAGTGGTACGGTTGTAATGAGCAACTTCTTGCGCTTGTAATAGTTTTCTCTGAACACTGTAATAAAAAGCCGTATTGCACACTACGTAACAACATCTATTAAGAGAAATCACTTGGAAGTTGACCTATAATTTTATCAACGAGTTTTTTTCTTTTGTTATATAAAACAAAGACTCACTGGTCTGTGGGGACGTCATCGCATCAAAGTCATAAATTAAAATAATGAAATTTAAGGGGGGAGGGAAACGACGCTGTATCTCCACTCCACTCCGTTGTGAAATAGGTTCGGCGCGTTCCCGACTTCCGGTTCGGGAGTTTGATGGCCCGGCGACGTTATTATACAGGCATCCCCCTCTCGGGATATGCCGCCGGGGGCGGTTTTGCGCCTCTGAATTTATACACTTTGAAAATTCCACAGACCCCTCTTTATGTTTCCTCATTTAAAACTGTACGCGGCTAAGTATACGACATATTCAGTATGACCATAAAACGAACGTGTTCGTTCAAATATTTATTCAATAATTCAAAAAATTTAATTTCGTAAATTGTTGAATTCCAAAATATTTATTGTTAATATCTACAATAACTACTCTTTTAATTACTGTTATTAGTAGGCACTATTAAAATGTATAAATGACCTAGATATTATTTTACCTGTAAACATTGACAATACTAGATAATAAATCTATTTAATTTTAGATAGGAATTTACCTTTATTTTATATATTAAATTATTAATTGCTTTTTCCTTCTTTTATTTATTATACAGATCTGCAAAAAAAGTGGTGTTGATTGTTGTTGGATGGCTGACGATCATTTCCGAAGTAATTTTCTGCGTAGAATCAGAATCCGAGCTCAGAATTAGACCATCACGTCAAGATTTTGAGATATTTGAGGTTATGCACCAGAAAAATGGCTTCTTTGGCTACTTTTGAAGTTATTATGTAACATTATTTAGCTATATTCTATCAATTACAAAATACGATTTTTCCATTATCAGTTATGGCAATTTTAAAATGACGTAATGAATTGAAACCCAGCAGTCAAAATTTTGTATTGTATTTAACTTTTATGGATTCTCTTTTGCTTGTGTTCCATAGATCTTGTGCCAGATCGTCTCTTGTGCTAAGTATGTGGCTCATCACGTTGAAGTGACCAGCAATAGTCGGCTAGCATAGATAGTCTTTGCATTTCTTTATCCTGATGGAAACGCTCTCCTTGCTTTTCGCTAACATCACCTAAATTGTCAGGAAACCAAATGAAAGTACCAATATTGCAACTTCACGTTCATGTTACAACCTACGCGTTTTAGTGTCACAATGATTAAATCTCTTTCACCCGAAATTATCACATTTTCAACTTCAAGGGTCATAACTTATGAAGGAAAAATAGTACATAATTCCGTACATAATTACAACAGTAGCCAATTTTTTCTTGTACATAACCTCAGTTATCTTAAAATCATGACGTGATGGTCCAATTCTGAGCTTGCATTATGATTCTACGCAGAAAATGACTTCGAAAATGACTTTCAGCTGACTGACAACAAAACCTTGCACATCTATGTTATCGATCGCCTTACTGTCTTTTCTTCTTACTGTCTCTGTTCAATTCCTTTCTTTCATTACCAGCTTCTCTCTAGTCTTCTTGTTCTTTGTCTGTCATCTTCCTTACCTTTATAATTCCTTTTACGGTTCCCCTTTCTCTGTTCAGTTTTCGTTTGTCATTGCAGACTCTGTACAATTTCTTTTATCTATTTGTTGTCATCTGATTACTTTTACCGTTTCTGTTTAATTTCTTTCTACTACTATTAATCTGTTTCCAGTGTTCCATCTTTATGCCAAGTCCCTTTTCACCTTCCAGTCTCTTCCTATTACACGCCTTCTTATTTTTCTTATTTAACCTCTTTCTTCTATTGTTAGTTTCTTTTAAGGCTTCCTCTCCTCTGTTTAATCTCTATCTTATACTTACAGTCCCTTTCCTTTCTTCTCCTTTCTCTCTGTCCAGTCTCTTTTCAGCCACGTTATTCACTGTCCAGTCTCTTTCTTGCATTTGTAGTTTTCCACCTCTTTATCTATTAAGATCTTTAGTCTACCTCTAGTCTCTCTCTTGCCTGTACAAAGGTACACTAAGCAGTAAGTTGGATATTTTAAAGAATTAGAAAATATGCTTCTATATGTACTGCTGGTCTAGTAGATACAGAAGAAAAATACTAAGTGGCAACTCACAACAACGGTTATACTAATCAAAACCTTAATTAAGGGCTATGGTAAATAAATAAATATACGACTAAAGTTTTATTAGGTTTATATTCGATACCTATAGAGATTGCTTTCGAAAACAATAAAATAAAAATTTTAGAATTCAACGTAGTGTATACAGAAAAGAGAAAATTTCATTTCTTTTTACCAATATCTCGGATCGCAAGGAGTACAAGTCCTATTGCGGTTGTCGTTTTTCGCGTCGCACGGAAAGACCACTTTTATCGTTTGAGTTTTCAGTCGTAGAGAGCGCTATAAGGGCCAATATCTCGTCTCGTTTCAGGTAACGGACGCTTTCATCCACTGTTCAGGAGTTGTAAACTGGAATATATCAATCCACATCTGTTGGTAACCTTCCGAAATGTGTCCATACACGTAAGTAGTAAAAATACAAAAATAACAAACTCTCGTTACAACATTGCATTTACTAAATCGTTGTTTTTATAATTAATAAAACAAAAATAATAAAAATCAAATCCTTTTTTCTTAGTAGGTTGATTAATATTGGTGTATTGATGCGATTCTTTTTTGTTAGAGTTAATAGAAAAGATACAAAAAGAACCGAAGGATATCGCGTCTTTAGAAGTAGCTTTAGCGGAGTTTCTCGAAATTTCTTTTGTTTCGTTACTGTTGGTCCACGATTCTCGCCCAAATTAAAGCATAAGATGCGAACTTGTACACATTTAACTTTGGAGTTTTTTACTTCGTGAAGTTGGCGAAGAAAATTTCCATCGTGTAACGACCGGAGGCGAATTTTTAAATAAACTTAGCAGTCCGAAAGGATACGCCTCGGGTCACTAACTTTCGAACAATAGTTTGTCTTTCGCAACGAAAACTAATCAACCATTTCGCCGTTTTGCGTGCTACTGCCTTCACTGGAAAATTCTTACTTACAACCCAACCCACAGCGCGTTCCTGGAAACTACGGAGTGGATAATTTGCTTTACCATGCAAGAATTGCCCCTAATACCATTGTATGTTTATTTTGGTGTGGTTAACCTAAAAGTAATGTTTTCTATACAGTGTGTGTCAAAAACACATTCCTCCAAAGTAATAATAAGTAAGCAGTGTTTACTTATTTTTGTTACATCCTGTATATAAGATTACTATATAATAAGATTTATGAGAATCTCGCGGGGACACAAGACATACTGGGTTGGTTATAAAACAACCGCATTTCATGAAATAATAAATTTCATTTTTCTCGAACGACACCCGAAAGCTACGACCGGTAATAAAAAAATACTGAAACTTTATTAACCAGTTTAGTAGTACCGGATTGGAAATCTGTAGAAGCTTTCATTCCGAGAGAATAGTTTTGAAATGAAACTCGATCATAAATTTTTCTTTTACGACCTTTTAGATTTTACGATCCTTTTATTAATTACCGTACGTAATAATTTTAATTTCTTTTTGTGTTCTTACAAACACCCTTGAAAAATCAATTTGTCACAACCCCTTTATCCAACGCCCTTCCTTAAGTCTAATTAACACCGAGGGCAAATCGTGTCGTTGCGACGGGGACGCCTTAAACTCTTGTTGCGGAACAAATCATCTCCGCCGGATTAGCGAATTCGATCCGGTTTCCTGAAGTGGTTAATAAGTCAAGGGCTGACAGTGGAGTAATAGTGTTTGAACTTGACTGGGAAACCACCACAACGCTGCTTCTCGTCCTTTCTGTACGACCGGATAAGTGCAGAGAATGCGTTTCAAGTGCACTCTCGGCATTCCCCTTATAAATTTTTCTACCCTGTCTAGAATCCTCTTTACAATAGTTGATAGCCTAATATTATATTCTAGAAAAATCCTTTCTGAAATTTTTACTACGGCACAAAAATATGAGAGGTTTAGTTTCGGGAGTTAGAGTTGTTTAAAACACCCTTGACCCTTTTCCTCTCGCGAAACGCAATCAACTAGGGTGTAGGGTGCGCAGAATTAATTCCACTACAGAGTTCTTATTATATTGGGACGGAACAAAGCGTAGCGCGTATAAAATTGACTCGCACCTGAACTTCGTTCAATTTGAAGTTTTAATAGCAGCTGGGGTGTTTTTGAAGGAGGGTAAAGTAGGGGTCAATTAACCCTGGTTCGACGCAGGCAAATTAGGATAATGAGCTTCTCTGGTCCAGTCCGCAGGTTGGGTCTTCCCACATGGTGCAAAATTGCACGTTCGCTGCCGTGAACTCGGCCTTTACAAACTCTTGGGGGCAGCATCAACGCGTTGTCAGAACGGAGCGTGGTCTACGCGGCTTCCCTCTTGCGTACCCACGACGCTACTAACCAACTTTACCGGTGAGTATATCCCGCCATTAACAACCCAACCCTATCCTGAATTTCCCTGGAAGTTTAATGTATTTGTCCCCAGAGGTAAAACTTTGTTTGTTTTAAGGTTTATTTTTGACACTCATCATGAAACATATTTTTATTTATTTTCTTTTAATTGATTTAGAGATTAGTTGCGTTCTTAATCCACATCGTTTTCTAAAGACATTAAACCAAGCGAGTTTTTCCGGTTCGTGAATATTCATGATTGCAGAGGACGCGCCTCCAACCATTTTGATCAGGATACCGTCCGGATCGGCAAGCGTAGAACCTGCGGGCGAATTGGCTGTTTTCCCAGGATCCACTCTGCACCTAGAATGCCTGTTTTCTCGGCGTCTCGGATCTCCGGACTGGACATGGACCTCTCCCCTGGGACAATACCTAACGGGTAAGACAAACGACTGTCCGATAGCTTTCCTTGAACATTTCCAGTGCTCGCTCGTCCCTTACGTTAAACTTTTCGCTACGCCTGCTTAAGGGATTTGTTCGCAAGATAATACATTTTGTTCCGTAAGGATTCAACAAGACTACTTCAGTAAAACCCTAAAAGTATTTCTTTGTAAATACAACTTAAACTCTTACATCTAAAGGATTTTGTTCAGAAAAGAGAGAATTTCTACTTTCCAGATACCGATAGATTGAAATAATTACAATTAATTTTAATTAAATTTCTTTTGAGTGTGTATCTAACTAGGTAAAAATATACTTAAATATTTTATATGTATAGTGAAAGAACAAGTTTAGTAGGAGTTTCTAGGCGAACCAACTTTGTGCTAACACCCGCCACGGGCAAAGTATGGAAATGTCGTGACGCGACCCCCCAGTTTTCGTATAGTTGGTGCGAAGTGGAAAAACGTGTCTCACGGGACAGAGCCGAGAACTGCCCTGCGGGGACCGGAAACACCACGAAAAACGAAAACAATTTCTTCGCACACGCGGGCCCTTCAATAAAACTGATAAAAATGAAAGGAAGCAACTCCAACCGCGATTAATCCCGTTATACGGACAAAGCTGAATCCCCGCATAAAGAGAGAATGCCTTTTTTTTGCAAAATTCGCGTTCTATGACAAAAACGGGGGAGTAATTGGATTAGGGAAATCGGAGAACGGCCCGCGGGGCTCCAACAACGATCCTTTCTTGTACACCGACGTCACCAGCTATTAAAGTATTTGAATTACAAATTGGCTACTCGAGTAAACGTAGAGTTATAACTATATGATTCGAATTGCGAAGCTATGCTGTGGCTATTAATATTTCTTAGATAGTACTATAAAAAACAGAAATTATTGTTATAATTCATAAAAAAGACTCAACTCATTCAAAATTGTGTGGGTACGGGATAAAGTACTGATTAACTTCTTCTTCTAAGAGAAAAGAATTAATAAACTGGTGCAGAACAACCTTCGCAACTTTGAAACTAACCAAAACATTCGAGTTAATATTTAGCCACACCAAAATACTTTCTTTATATAGTTCCCTATTAATTTCAAGTTCTCCAACTGATTTATCGCTTAAAATATTGTAATAGATTCTTTTAGCCGTGAAACTTCCACATTTTCTCAGATAAACGATATGTTATATACCCGATCTCGAAGTCCAATTGATTTCCAAAACTGTGGAGGAGCATCATTGTCTTTTGCCATTAGATCAAGATGGCAAAAGAGGAAATATTAGCTAAATTCTCACTAGTAATGATAGAATCAATGATCATGCTTATTTTATTACTGGTTTTAGTTCACAAAGAAATAAGCTAACAAAGTAATAATTCATCAAGTTGTTTCAGTCCATAATTTTCATCTCATAATTATCTACATAACTTGCTTTTGAACAGCTTATTTTGTATGATATTCTGCTTCTGCACATAACGTTCTCTTCGACAAATGACTATGATACTTAACTTCTACGTTTGATAATTTGGAAATATCCAAGATTTTTCGATTCTACTAATATTTTTTTCTGCGCCAACCTATGATATTTTTCTTCTGAACATTATATTCAGCTTTTAGATTTAACTACTAAAAATAATTTAGTTACAGTCTCTGTGATACATATACATAACGAGCTACAATATTAATTAAAATAGAATAGAAATGTTAATTGCAATTTTGCTTCGTTAAATAGTATCTAGAATTCGTAGATACAAGCTTTCAAATACAACAACGCTGACGTACAATTAGTTTAGCGACGACAGCTCGTCCCCGAGAACAATCGATCCCACTTCATCGGTGCACTGTTTGTTGTCATTCAACTAGGAACGCGCTGAATTAAGCTTAAGTCCCCCAGATTATCTGCCTATTGATAGATAGTCCATAGAGATACGTTGATAATTGAAAGAAATGATCCACTATTTGCTCAGTAGCTTTTTCAAGTTTTTTTTGCAACTTTAATTACATTAGTTAGAAAATGACGACGACACGTTACGGATTCTCCCTGAGCGCGATATCGAATCAATTAAACCGGAAACGAATGATAAACCGTAATTAGAGGCGATATCGCAGCGTCATAAACCGTGCACGTGACCGACCCGTACCGTTCTAATTGACGTAACGCGATTTGTCGTGGTATGTGTGTGTATGGTTTTTTTTAGTGTGTGCACGTGTCCGGACACGGTCGTGTGCTGGGATCCGCGCTTACGATATGGCATATTAGGGATTATCTGATTTATAAATATGTCGTCCGTATCTGCGTCGTTTCGCGAATAATGGTTATGCGGTCGGATACGGTCGACGTTCCCGTAGCAATATCGGTAAATTGGCGGATATTTTCATTTCGCGCACAGCGGGATCGACGCCGCCGCGCCATGCCGTTAGTTCTTCCGTATGCCTTTCTTTAATTTACCAACGTTCGACCCGATACGGGGTTTCCATTAAGGACCTTTTTCGTCGAGAGAATGCTCCAAGGGGTGGACGTTCGAAATGGGGTTGGAAACTGAACGGGGGAAGAATGGGTGGCGGGTTTAAGGGATCGATCCCGCTAATAGATTTACCGCTCCAGATCATGCATTTTCCTCTTTTGCCCGCCGAGGCACCGGATCCAATTCATCTCCACCGTTTCGCAAGCGTCGGGTCAATATACGAGTACCATTCTGCCGGCTCGTACACTTACAAACTCTCTATTCGCCGCCGACGGAGATTTGTGGCGAATTCATTTTCTCCAACTCAAGAAAGGAAAGAGTAAATTTCACAAGTGATTCTTTAGATGAACTCAAAGGAATTCCTATGGTATCAATGTAGGACAATTTTATTTTCTACCCAAAAAATTATAGATCGTGTCTATATTAAAATAAATGTGATAATCAATTGCCGAAGCAGCTGTGCTGCCACGATACTTACGAAATAACTCGATAAGCTTGCTTCGAAAGAATGTTGAGTAAGGTTAGCTTTCTTTTGAAATGTCAATCATCCCGTGAAACAATATTTGAAAAGGTTAAATTTTCTCTTGAAATGACGATCATCTCGAGAAAGAATTTTGGGAACCTTACTCAATTCAACACAAATGTGTTGGTTAATTACCGAAGCAGCTGTGATGCTGAGGCAAATGCGTGAGTAGCTAAAAAACAAATAATAAAGCTTTTTACAACAAAGAAAAATAAAATTTACTAATTGATTTTTGTCCTACAATTTATAGATGATTCTTTTTTGAAATAATTTAGAGCAAAACCGATTATTAAAACGAAAATGAAACAGTAATAATGACTGCTTCATTTTCATTCCTTTAGCAAGCTGTTGGCTTTTTGCCAAATCTCCTTCATTCAGTTGCTAGACAACCATAAGGTTATAGCGGTGGAAAAACAAATTTTGGTGTAAAATTCTGCGATGTGTTCAACCACTCAGTCGGAGTGCTGTAGCAGAGACTTTCAATTACTGCTTGTTTCTCTCGTTCTACGGAGACATGTCCTTACCCTTCGGAGATTACCATTAGGTTTTGAATACTTTACTAATGTTACCTAACAATAACAAACTCGCCCAATATTAGAGACTCTTTAACTGCAAACAAACGATGCTCAGTTGTCGTGATTACCATTGTGACTAACGAACGATAAGCGATCCTATATCGAACGATCGAAAACGCAATTCAATTTTACCTCAACCTGTCTATAATTCGCTGCGAATTTGGTAATGATGTGACAAACTCCCTCATCTATGATTAGGTTAACTGGATTTAGAAAGGCTTATCTCGTGTATTACTAAAGCTTGTTGAACAGGTACCTCATTAAGTAGGATATTTCGTTCTCTATCTGATTGTTTTTCAAGAGCTTTAAGCATTAGCAGAGCTCTAAGCATGGAATTTATGCAGTTTTATAATTTTGTGATTAGAATGTGACGAGTAGCTAAATTGGATTTAGAAATGCATATCGCGTGTATTGTAATACACTATACAATGGTTAATTTGAAAAGTTTCCCCAATGTCTGGAAATCTACAAATTTATGAAAAATGTCGCGGAAACACTACTAAGGTGTTAACATCTGTGTGAGCTCAATCTTGTTGAACATATACATCATCCTTATCAACTAGGATATTTTGTCCTCTATCCGATTGTTTTTCAAGAGCTTTATAAGCATGGAATTTATGAAGTTTTATAACTTTATGAATAGAAGAAATTCCATTTGCACTAGAAATCTGACATAATGAGTAATGAAGTATGTATTAGGATTTATGCCGAAATAACTCAACACTTGCACTAGATTGGCTTCATTTAAAACTCTGGGCTTAAAATTTTGGGCATATCTATTAGATATATTCTTATCCATTTCATCATTTTGTTAGATGTTGCAGCAGTTAGTCGAGCACATTGATTTTCGGCTTCATAAATTAATAACGTTTTAACTTTTTCTTCCAAAGTTTAAACTATTGTTGTTGCTTTATTTAAATAACTCTGGGTTGGTAACTGTAAATAACACATTATACTAAAGTAACAGCCAATGTATTTCCAAACAAAAATGCCGTAACAAAACCTGATATAATCCTAGCCTGTTTTTAGTTTGTACCATTATTTTTTTGTTCGGTTTACACAAATTGAATGAAAGAACGCAAAATCAGTATAAAAACGTAACTACAATAATCATTTTTATTTATTAAAACTAATCCTGCATTAAGGACAATTCTTGCGTTAGATTCTTTTATTTTTATTGAACAGCCAGTACGTACCTTAAGACGGCTAAACCTGAATTTTTCTAGTTCTAGGATTAGTTTTAATGCTAGTGTTAGTTCTAGTTTTAATTATTATTCAGCGTTAAATTGTTGTATATTTTTCATTGAACTAAAACTAGAGCTAACATTAGACCTAGAACTAGAAACATTTTCTAGTTCTAGGTCTAGTGTTAGTTCTAGTTTTAATTGTTATTCAGCGATAAATTCTTGTATATTTTTATGTAACTAAAAGTGGAACTAACACTAAACCTAGAAGCAAAACTCGATCAAGATCTTTATTTTATATTATGAACCTTAAGTCTTAAACTAACAAATGTTCCCGGGATGTAGCAGTCCTCTTAGATTCTACCGTCCTTGCTATAAATATAAATCCAGGTAGACTGAACGCAACTTTTGTTTTATCGAGGTTTTACTGTATTGTATTTTGCATTTTATGTAGAAATAACACCTTTATTTTATGATTATACTCCGTTTTTTAAAAGCTGTGATAAAAAGACTTCTATAATCCTCTTTTTTACATAGTTATTCTTTTTGTGTGTGAATAATTAAAATATTTAAGTTAAAAAAATTTCAAGGAAAGTACGAACTCGACAGCTCGGTCTCAGATTTATTCTCCCTAATGGGTCTCGGCATACGAGGCCGCACAGTTAACGAAAAAAACCGTGTGTTTTATGAGAGCTCTGGACCATATTTTTTCCAGTACTCTTCCTTTTTTTCAATTAACCCCGTAGTCTTTTCGAATTTCGCGGCCTCGCGGTAAGCTTGGTCCTCATTTCTTTTTCCTTGTTTTTGTCGAGTTTTGTTTCGTGCTGCAAATGGCGCGGCGATTTTCATAGAATTGATCGCGCGCGGCTTTTGCTTTTTACGAGTCTTTTATCGGTCCAACTTCAGCGGGAAATGGCAAAAAACTTAATGCCCCAAGTTTTCCAACGATCTCCACTAAAAAGAATGGTTTTGACTTAACAAAAAAAATTAATTTGTTCTAAGCATCACATTTTATTATTTATCTTATAAGACGTACACTTCATCACCTTGTTATAAAAAAAAGCTAAATTAAAAACAGCGACGTTTCGATTTACTTTTGCTTTGATTTTCCAATTTTCTTGTTAATGATAATTTTTGTTCTTGGGCGGTAAACAACATTTGCATTAACGTTCTTTTTTCTTTTTCACCATCTTCAACCTGTCTTAATAAATCCTCGTATTGTTGTTTGTTATTATTTTCAGACACTCCATTTCCCGATTTATCTCTTAACATTTTTACTTCATGCTTTAAATCTTTAATCTGTTTGAGCAACGTGTTTTTTTCTGCTTCAAATTTTATCTTCATGTTTTTTGTGGATTCCTCACATGTTTTTTTCGTGGAGTTTAATACTTCTCTTAACGTGGTAAGTTGTTCCCCTTTAGTTATAGTTAAAATTTTGAGCCTAGCTACTTCCTCTTCAAGTAAATCGATGTCTTGAGCGTTGATATTTTCATTCGATTTTGCGCACAATTTTTTTCTTCTCGCAGATTCAATTTCTTGTCTACTTTTAATCTCAGAATCTACTTGTGCTTTTCTCACATCAGATAATTGTTTATGCAAATTAGCGTTTTCTTCTTCCAATACGTTGTAATAGGATAAAAGTCGTACTTCTTTGTATTTATATTCTCTCAACTCTTTTTTTACCTCCTCCAACTCTTGGTCTGCATTTTTTATATTTTGATTTATTAAGGAATTTTCTTCGAGCAATCTATTTCTTTCTTCAGATACTATCTGTAATTTCTCTTTAAAGCATTCCAGTTTTGTTTCCGCTTCGGACAGTTCCCTGGACAACATCCATTCTCGTTCGCTCCACTGCGAATTTGGGTCCACAATTTCTTCCGATAACGGTTTATTGTAATCGCATGTTGAGCTTCTCAAATTTAACGGGGGTAATATGTCAAATTCTGCACAATCAGGTGCTGTACATTTATTAAACTGGCATCGATGCGTTGACGAGTTCGGTTGGTTATATTTATAGGACATTTCGGTTTATAAAGGGATGAGGTGTCGTCCCATGACATTTGACACTTAATTTAATAACCCCTACACCGTTAAAGAAACGTTTAACCCTCGACACAAGTATTTTAAACGGCCAACCCATAAACGAGCCAACAAATAGGCAATTTTGCCGTTGAATGGAGTTCAAATTGTTCTTAGAGTGAAGTTTGCGGAATAATCCTACGCCATCTCAACGTGAAATGAAAAAAATCATCTCGACGTAAGGGGGTGAAAGAGAAAAGAAAGAACCAAGTGTTGGGGTGACTTAGCACAAAAAAGAGAAGCACTTCAAGGCCGCTACTGATTAATTAGACCTTGTTCGTTAGGAAGAGGGGAGTCATTTTCATTACGGAGAAGTTGTTTTTTAAGTTTTTCTTTCTTTTTCAGGTTGGGCAATTGCTTCTGAGGAAAGAGATTGGAAATATAGACTATCTATTTATTACTCGAAACCGCAAGATTCTGGCACTTTTACTTGCGCAACTCCGCGTGGGATCACCAACAGCATATCTTTACATGTCGCTGGTAAATACTAAATTTCATATCAATTTTTAATAATGAATCGCCCAAAACAAAAAAAGAATTGAATTAAAATTGCAAATCAATATATAAAAAACATCATACAAAAAATGTATTGATTTCTGCATTTGGTCATAAAAAATTTCTCTCCACACCGAATTTCAACATACCTAGCGTTTTATGAACATTTTACGTCAATTGATTTTTTTATATTGGAAAAGCTAATTAAAGATTTAATTTTACTTCGCAATAGCAATCCATTGTGAACCTATATCAGTATCCGGGATGCATATTACCGTACGAGTGGAAGGAACACGGTTGGGACACACGGCAATTTTCCAATGTCCTGTAGGATTCAGGATTAATGGGACGGCCAATATTACCTGTCAGGCTTCAAGTAAGAATTGAAATTGCTTTTCATTCCTTTTTAATTGATTTCGTGATTTAATTTATGTTTCACAAATTGTATAATTTCGTTTAAAATGGTAATTTTTCACCGAATTCCACATCTTTCAGATCTTTCACGTAGGAGGGTTCTTTTTTATAAACGAACGACTGCGGTGATGTTTTAATGACCACCGCGGGTTTATTACGCCGCTTTACCAGCAATAATGGAGGAGTGAATTTAAATTAACAGCAGTTAGACAAAGTGTTCGCCCTTGGCTACCACCAGCTTTTCAAGTTACTAAATTACAGTTAGCTATTACTCCTCCTGTACGGTTTTACTTCCGGTTTCCGTTTAGGTATATTCGCGCGAATATTGCATTTCCGAGCATTTCATATGAATATGATTAGTCAATATTTAGACAATGGCCATCAAAGAGAATGTTACATATACGTGAATTCACTAATTGCACGTAATGTAACTAATTTGTGGTACAATGAAAACCTATTTGGGGCATGAAACCCTATTGAGACTTTTGTAGGTCTCATATATTTTGTCAAGTTAAAATAGTAAAACAAAACCGCGTACAATAACCAAGTTGATTGTGTGGAAACGCGTCGTGAATAATTAACGCGTTTAAAAAATGCATAACATCCCACAATGGTGGACGCTCTACAGCAACGGGTTCTATTACGTCGCGACGCCATTCAAGCGACAAATTGAGAAACTGTTGCAGCAGAGATTGGTTTCCAACCCTGAAAATTAAACCCTCGAGCAACGTTGACGTTAGACCACTATTTAAATTTTCAACGCTAACCCTCTCAAACGTGATTTTTTACTTTTTATCTTTTTAGGTAAATGGTCTGCGCCAGTTCCTAATTGTGAACCGGTGCGTTGTTCGTCTCTTGACACATCAGCCGTACTTTACGAGCCTCACCTCCAGCTTGAAGAACACAACTCGAGCTATGGTGGCCGAGCTGTGTTTAGCTGCGCCTGGGGTTACCGTCTGATGGGGCCCCCGGGTCTCGAGTGCGAATTAAGCGGTAACTGGAGCGGTCCGCTACCCAAATGCGTCCGTAAGTAGTTAATGCTTCATTAACTTCCGTAACAACAGCACGGAAACACGCGAAGCCACTCGAAATGTTACCCCATCAACGGTTAACCAACGATATCCATTTGGAAAAGTAATAAAAATTAACGGCGAATTTATTCTAGTTTTTATGTTGAATATAATAGAAAATATTGGTGGAGGTGCCGGTTTATCACTCTTCGTTCGAATTACGCTTTGTCAGAAATTCCTATAAATTACTGTATTCATTACAATTACAAAAATGGATATTGCGATTCGACCACCAGAACCACAATAACACTGAATCCCGTTTCGATGAAATGCGAAATATAACATTCGCGCGGTTCCGCGATGAACGACCTAAATATATCCCATTCGAACGATGCCCAATAACAACGAGCGCGTTTATTCATAAAACGTCGACAGCCGACATCGTAAATCTTTCGTTGCCCGTCGGCCGCGTTTAACGCGCCGACGCGTTTTGGATTAATTTACGACACTCCCTAATGTAATTGCTTACTCCTTATAAGAATACGACGAATGGATATCAAATTTTAAATGCTCTTATGTTGAATTCCAGCTATTCAATGTCCTCCACCGGTTGCTCCAATCCACGGCCACTTGATTCAATCGGAATCCGCCGGGATGGATGGAGGTCGGTATGCTGTTGGGAGTCTCGTTCAATTCGCTTGTAGAGGAGCACATGTTCTTGAAGGTGAAGCTTCTATCATCTGTACGGAAACTGGATATTGGTCTCATCCGCCACCGTTCTGTAAGAAAAATTTTATAAAAATAGAATTTTTTTGGTAGTTATTTTATTGATATGAGTTTTTAAATCTTTAATAGTTGCTGAGTATAACACGTTAATTTACAAACTTGAGAAACATGTGTTTTCATAGCTTTATCGGTGTGTTATCATATTTTGTAGTTTTCTTAAAGTTATAAGTAACACTTCTCTGGCTTATACACAATGCGGATTATTGCTGTAAATGATCGCTTGGTATAAAATTACTTATGTGTTAGAGATCATAGAGGCAAAAGGAAGAACCAGAAACGAGGAAAAAACGAATGAAGAAAAGAGTCAGAATCAAATAACCCAAAACACAGAAATAGGCAGAAGTCGAAAACTTGAAAAAGTAAGAAGCCAAAAAGAAAGAACTTAAATACATGTCGGAATCTAGAAGATGCTGGATTCCGAAGAATCCAATAAGGTTGATGGAGGCAGAGGAATGTCAGAATAATAAAAGAACCCAAACGAATACAGAAAAGATTATTAAAATATGTTTTCAAAGAAACCAGGTGTACAAGCAAGGTTACATTGGTTCAATAAAGCTGCTTATGAATTGCTTCTCAACAATGCTCACCTTTCTTGCTTTTTGAATCTGAGACCCAAAATTCAGCAAGAGACGACGAATGTTGAGAATCAAAGTCCAGTTCCTAAACTGAACAACTAAAGTGCTTCACACTTAAGAAACACTTTTATTCACAATCTCAATATGTTCACACATTCCTGCCATAATCAATATAAATTCCTCAGTTGTTTCCATTTCTTGCGTAATCTTTTTGTCTTCTATAAAGACTCTTCATCATTGATTTCATTTAGCTAATAATCCCATCAGTCCTGATTAACAACTCTCATCACATCGTCGTTGCTATTTTCCTCACATTTTTATGATTCTATTATCTCATTTGTTTCCACAATTCGTACATCTCATATATCTCTACAAACATTTGTTTTAGAAAATGTCGATTCTACTGAATTCCGTCTCTAACAACAGTTGATCTCTTAACGTATCCACCTATCCATATATCTTTTTCTAATTATCTCGTTCACTGTTCTTTACCTACCTTTTGCAGCAGCTTTCCCTTATTCATGTCCACTTTTGATGTGTAAGATACGCCAATTAAAGTAATGCAATTAATGTCCATGCATACGCAGGTAAGTCCGCGAGTAAATACGTACAGTTAAGCTCTGGGGCAAAACAAAACGCCAGTTTTCGCCATACATTATTCTCTTCAGTTTCACAATTTTAATGAAATTGTATATAAGATTTAGTGTGGTGATACTGTAGTCTAGTTGTAAATACATAAATATTCACGTATGATGACATCTGAAGAATCAATACTACATACTAAATGGACAAAAGCATGACTCACTATTTATAGGATGAATCTTTCTTAAGAACTTTCATTGTAATTCCAGTGATTATGATTGTTATCGATATGTTACAAATCCTTGACAGGTCTTCTGATGATGGCTGGGAGACAGAAATTAATTAAAACTCATTAAAATAAAATATTCATCACTCACGTATAAAAATGGATACCTTTATCAAGTATAAAATCCGATAGTTGACTCGAATAAATTAACATACACATTCATGCTTACCTTCGGACTTGCACGATGATTTTTTTTCGAGTTCTGGCTGGAACTGAACATGCTAAACTATTTTGGTCCTACACTTGCGCACTTACTCGCGGTTTACGACCTATGCAGGCAAGTGCTAACACGTACCTACGTGCGTATGGGCCGCATAACACTTGCAGTGCATCAGTTGAACTTGTCATATATTCAGCAATCAAAGCAAGAAAAGCTTCGAAACTAAATTTAACCCTTTCATAGTACTGCTTCCCATTGCGCTAGCTTGATGCAATAAACTCTCAATCTCCACCAAAATCAGTAACACTTCTGCCAAAATATTGTCAATCACTTTCGCTGTCGTCGAGGTCATACATACATTTTAGAATCAACTCCTGTGTTAGATATCTGCTGCTACACAATTTTTGTAGTTTTATACATCGACGCTTCCAAGTAAATAGGGCATACTTTTGGTATCAGTCTGCAGAAGAAACTATTGAATTATCCGCCCATCTATGTTTCAGCCAATGTACTTTATTCGCAAATTTCTCAGCTTCCTTCTTAAGCTATCAAGTCAGTCCATTAAAACCAAACTTTTCGATCCTATGTTTATAACAATAACAATTTTTTTCCAGTACAACCAAAGACTAAAATTGTATTTTTTTGAATATAAGACTAAGAATTATTAAATAGTATACAGAAAATGATATCAAATCAGATAACATCATTCTTCTATATATTTTAATTGTAGTTGTATGTAGTTTCAAGTGAGGTTGGTGAAACCATAGGTGGTATAACCAAAGCACTTGGGCCCCAGCGGTCCCTTTGTACATCCTCAAGGTTTTCTTCGGGCATGTGTATGTCTATTTGGAGGAGTGAAAGATGTTCGAATGGCATCCGATAGGCTGATACCGCTTCTTCGCCTCGCCTCAAGCCGAGCTGGTAATTCCAACGCCTAGAAAGTTGAAGTCCCTCACAAGCCGGGCTGGTAACTCCAGCGCCCAGAAACTTGGGTACATCCGCTGGCGGCAGTACTGCTCAAAGAGCGCAGACGCGCATTCAGCCCGTTTTACGTTCGCAACCTCCAAGTACACTTGTAGTCATGTTCATGGGAAATGCACACTTAAGGTCAAACGCTGTTGTGAGATCCGACCAAGCTCGTGGGCGTTCGGCTCAGCCCGTTTAGCCAGCCGAATGTCAGATCTCACAACAGCGCTTGACCTTAAATGTGCATTTCCCGTGAACATGACTGTATATGACGACAACCAGAGATGTTAGACTGGTTGCCGGGACCGACGGCTTAACGTCCCCTCCGAAGGACGGGGAGGAGACTCGGCGTGTATTCACTGGGAGCCACTTACCACTGAGCCACCCCCCCCCCCTTTTAATTATTATTTGTTAAATAAAATTGATTTTCTTTAAAGGTAAACCAAGATGTCCTTATGTTGGTGAACCAGATAACGGTTCTGTAGTACCATCTAAGTTTGCATATGAACCGGGAGATGAATTACAAGTGATTTGCAACCCAGGATTCGAATCACCGTTAGAAGCGCGACCGAAATGCCTACCGGATGGAAAATGGTCCGTTCCATTACCCCACTGTACCAATTATTCGCAAATATAATAAATGTTAAAAAAAAGATTTAAATTATTTTCCGTTGTTTTGTACGAAAATTTACACACTAAAACAAAAAAAAATGTTTGCCCTCACGTGAAATTTTGTACTTTCGAAAATATATCAATAATTTTTATGTAATTATGTATGATAATATGGAGTGATATTATTAAATGGATGAAAATACAATAGAGAGTAAAACAAGAAAATTCTAAATAAAAAGAAGTAAATAAAATAAAAAAAAAACTCCAGAGATGATAGAATATATCATAAGGCCTTCGAATGTTATATGTCGTAGTCAATTTTTATTAGTGTGTTCAAAATAAATGTAAAATTATTTATATTTACAAATGCGTTTTTATTATACACTCATTAATAAATAGGTACATGGGCGGTAAGTAATATATTTTAACGTTACCCACAAGAACTCGAAATACTAACACAAAATGACTTTTTAACAATTAAAAAAAGAAACTGTACTGAATAATATGTTACTCATATAGAATATTTTACAACGAAACTTGTAAACACCACTCTCAAATATCATCACGATATTAATCATGAAACATATCACAACCATTATTATTTTATTTTCCATTTCATATTCAGATTAATATACATCCTACACGATTTTTTTTTTTACTTTTTTCACTTTATAAACATATAAAAACTTACATCTACATTCAATTTACTTTCAATACAGTATGTATATTGTATAATTATTTTTAGTTGGATTTTTAAACAACTACATGGTGCTCTTTGAAGCAAACAAAGCAAAACAAGAATTTTAGTCCTTTTTTTGTGGCAAAAAGACAAACTTACACAATCATGTCATCATTTTATTTTTAAAACAAAACACCAATCTATCGTTTACCCATTTTTACAAACTCGCGGAATGCTTCTTGTATTTCAGCATCCATTTCTGGTTCTGGATCAAAAAGATCATCCGGATCAGATGATTCATCACTAAAATAAAACAAATTTAATTACATATTTTGATTTAGAGGTAATTATTTACGCTAAATAATCGTCGATATTTGCACACAGAAACTCGTGTTCTTCTGTGGTTATTTCTTGACCATCCGGACCATAACAAATTGAGTCAACATCTAGGGTAACGGGAGTTTCCCCATTTTGTTCTTGGGTGCTAAATACATTTTTAATAAATTATTTTTTTCTATTTTTAAGTTATTAATAATACCTATTTGAATTAGTATTGCGTCCCCAATGATTCTTGCGCAAATTAACTGTTGACTCAACAATATTATTCAACGATTGAGAAAATGTTGGTTTGAGTTGCTCAAGTTTTGCAAAAATGCCATCTAATGTTTGAGAATAATTTTCTTCCAAAGAATATCCAGTCAACTAAATCAATAAAGATAATATTAATAATTAATCTATATAATAATAATGTTGTGTACCTTTAAAGCCTTACAAACACATTTCAGATCTTCTTCTTGCCCCATTTTTAAAAGATTCTCAATGGATAATATCAAAAATCTCTCATGTATACTTTCATAATTTAACTGCATGTATAACTCAGCCAAAAACAAGGTAAGACCTTGTCCATTGGTGTTAGTTTGAAGTTCTTTTTCACAAAGAATATGTAAATGAGATCGAAAGATTGGAGACTGTTCATCAACAATACAACATATTCTCGCCGCATTATACCTAAAACTTGCTTCCATCACAGCGTACTGGAAGACCATATCCGCAGCAACCTGAGAGATATTCACATCAGAAAAATGTGGTTCAAGAAGGTCCATAAGTGTTTCTAACAAATTATCAAACTGTCCAGGATCGTAAGTTAAACTTTGAAGTATTGATTCCAAATGAGATTGGTCAAAAGCTGGATCTGGTTCACTGGGAGGTTCGCCCAATCTAATTTTTTTAAGACGATCATCTATTGAATGACCTGAAGCGACATGCGGTGTTTGTTGTTGAGGGGTGTAACCCCTAGGAAACCATTCTTTAGCTTCCGCTCTAAGCGGAGTTTTGGAAGAGTTGCAATAATCTCCATCACTGGACATCGACGAATCCGTTAAATGGTTTTTGTCATTGCTCGAAGGGTGACGAAGGGGTTTATACTCTTTGTCGCTTTCCCACAACTTGGGAAATTCCATGTCGTTCAAGATACGATCACAATTTATCAAGAACTTTTCAGTTATCACTCACGAATACGCGTCGATTGATTTTACGTTCAACTTTACACCGCAATTTCACAATAAAACATAAACATGGACGACAACACGACGTTTCTCGCGAACGTAGTAGCAAAATGTAAAATGAAGGGATTTCATGGTTGTCAACATTGAAACGAAAAAAGATTTCTACTTTAAGAATTAAGAAATTTTTCTTGTTTTACGATTAAAAATAATACTTTCGCAGTTATATTTATTTAAAATAATTATATTAATTATTTATATTATCATTTATTTATATTTATTCATTAAGTCGTAAAAAAATTTGTGACAGTTAAATTAAACGGCCCGCTTAAACGATTTGACTGCCGTCTATCGGGATTACCTGAAGTTTACGGCCAGAGACAGAAATGGCTGGTATTTTTGTTGGAATCGGGAGATTTTTTCATTAATAATTACATTCGAAAAATTCCTTTCGCTTCTACCGTCAACAATTGACACGTGCAAGACTTTGTCAACTACGTCCTGTGGTGAGCGTCGTCATTGGTGTAATGTACGTTTAGCAACGTATAGTTAGAAAAAAAATTCGTCGTACTTAGTGCAAACTTTTGACGTAAATTTCGGGGGGCCCCGCGAAAATGTGACCCGACCCAACTATGCGAGCAGTGTGGCCGGTTCGCGAAGTGTTATTTACCCTGTTCCGGCGTCCGTGTTAATAATCGCCGCAATCAGGTGTTTTAAAAAATGCAACGGACTACCATCACATACGTTTTGTGTCTAATTTGGCTATGTCAGTTGTGCTTTGGTAAGCTTTTAAATAATAAAAATAAAGAAATTAATAAAAATATTTAGCAATAGAGCATATTTATTCAGTACGTAGTGTTTTCGTGACGTCACATTGCGGAAATTTGACGTTTACAACTATCACTTTGACAGTTGTTTTTTTTTTGAGGTTATGTTTTATTTTTTTTATAAATCAAACATTTTATAACGAAAATTTGAACGGTTTTTTATGTTTACGTAGGTTCTATTGAAAAGACATCAAAAACTTTAAAATGCAGATGCGACAATTGCAAAAACGGAACTTGCGAAACAGAGGGATATTGTTTTACTATGGTTTATCGGGACGGTCAACATAAAAAATACGGATACAGGTAAAATTACAAAAACTCTGTAATAATCTTAGTTAAGTTTTATAGCCAGTCAAAATTGTTTTATTATTATCCTAATATGTTCCCATGAAATATTCCCTGTGAGACCTCAAACAAAGAGTAATTTAATTTTAATTGGTCCATAACGTCTCAATGTTTATATCATTATTATATAATGAGGAGGAGGTAGTTGCTAAAGGCGTCTCAATAATGTTTCTTCTTCACTTAATAAAAAAAATTACAATAAGATGGAAAGTAAAAATAAAAATAAAATCAATACAAACGCGTTATCGAACATGATTTTATATTATTCGTGTTTGTTTAAGGTGGTAGATATCTTATCTCAGGAACACTTCAATGAGTACTTGAAAAAAAGGAATTTTAAAACATTTTTGAGATTATATAAACCTATTACCATCAGTTTAACAGTTATATTCTGAATTGTCGCGCCAACAGCGACGTTTTCTCTAGTAATGACGACCTCGTCGCCAAATATAATGTCCTTGACATGACTTATATACGTATCAAAGCAGGTCGCTTTATCATCTATTTTTATATCACAAGATTTATTATTTTATATCTTATACAGAGTATATAACAATAATTGAATAAACGTAGCGACAATGTGTAAATTATAGATGTATCATTTTTTTAAAAATTAGTGACTTATTTGTAATCAGTCAAGGTTAATTTTACTCATTTTTAAATTTAATCAAAAGTATTAAAAGTTAAAAGAAATATTTGAGCCGCAAAATAAAACTACTCTCATTTATTATCTTTTGTGAATGCAACTTTTTCCTCGTATAATAACGCATTAAGTGCTGTTGTGTCCGCGCTATAGCTGTTATAACAAGTCACATTACTTCCCGTTGGATACACCGACGTTGTGCGATGAACCGCCCGGAATCTACAAGTCGTACGGCTGTTGCCGGAACGGGGATTATTGCAACGACCGATTGAAACCGCAATTCGCCAATGCGGTTTACGATTTTCAAAATAGTAGCGGCGGCAACAACAACAATAACAACGAGACCTTTGAAGGTGATGGGGTGCAAGGTAAAATTGCGAACTGGGCTGCTGTGCTATTGAAACGAATTTAACACCATATTTACAAATAATGAAATTGTTTTACAATGATTGGGTTGGGTATTAGAATAGTCGTTGTAAAATCAATTTTGTGTGTTTACTTTTCATGAGATTAAAAAAAAAGCGATTGTAATAACGACATTTTTTTTTAATAACAATTGTGTGTTTTATTTATTTTTTTTTATTTAGATTAACACTGTAAGGTTGAAGCAATATTAAAATGTCTTTTCATATAAAACATCTTTTAAATCATTGTTTATAGAGTTAATGAACTTATATTGAAAAAAGATTTCAATCATATGATCGTGCTATTTTAACGTATTGAAGAATCCTGCAAGGCATTTTTTGGTCATTTCGAAACAACTCCATCACCAAACACCAAGACTTCTGCTACTTGAGTAGAAGTGGCCCATGTTATCTACATTAAGTCGTCTTCCTCACTTCAGTGTGTATTTGTTTAGTATCTTGTAAGTGGTGGCATATAGTATCAGCGCAGAGTATCAATTTGTCATGGGCTTTCCTTATCCATATATGCAATAACTGTTTATAGACTGGATTGTAAAATGGTTGATATACAGTGTTCACAGTTCGATGTGCTGATAGCACTCCCATGGTCTTCGTGTTTACTGCTGCAGCCGTTTTGTATAAGGCTGCTATTCTCCATCATTATCTCTCTTTCTCTTCCTCCTGACGTACTCTCCTCTTCTGCACTATCCTCTCATTCGGACTCTTCTGTAAGCTATGCTACAGGGTGTCCTCACTCACCTCGCACACACATTCCGTTCGGCTCCTTCAGTTGAATAAACCATGTTCCGTGATCAGCTGGACTTGGTAACCTCACCCATCCATCTATCCTTCATAAACCTATACACCCCTCTATCCTTATCCGATTCTACCCATCTCCTCTTTTACGCCTCTCTAACATCCTTCACCACTTCCCTCCAACCACTCCACCGTTATCACATTATCGTTAAACACCTTATATTTGTATCTATTGCTCTCCTTCCATCACCCATTCCATCTCCAAGCTTATCGATTGTACCTTCATCTCAGTTATCAGCCCATCACGTTCTTGCCCATCATCACCACGACTCCTTCATACACAACTTCCCCCTCATTGTCCTCATCATCTCCGGTTACCTCGCAATAACACCATTGTATCACCTATGTATCTGTGGGCTAACTAATAATTATGGTGTATTTCAACTCAATCGCAAATTTTTCCTCAATTTCGATATTAGTCTTGCTACTTACGACCAAGAGCAGGTCATCCGCATACATCACCATTACAGTACCTCGTTGCATATCCAGACTGGGAATATTATCATAGAAGACATTTAACCCAATATGAATACCTGGGTAATTTCGCAGGAAACTTCAAAGCTTTCTCCGTCGAGTGCAATAATTTTGCATCTATGTTGCTTTTATACTTTTTAAAAACTAAGAGTATTATACTAAATCTGTGAGGTTTCATTAACTCGTAAAAAATGACTATAATCAAAAAGAAAAAGATAGAAATTTTTTAATGTTGCTCCAACTTTCAACATTTTGATGTTGTTTTATGTTCATATTAAATTTTAAAATAACAAAAACTTCATTTTATCCTTCAACTCCTAATAAAGTCATTATCCTGTTGATCCTAAAAAGTTTTTAGCGACTGGCTATTTTGATAATGTAAGTTGTTAAAATTTATTCGAATTTATTCCAGTTTAAAAATGTCGTTGAACGTAATTTTTATGCTGGATATAAGTTTTGGGATATATTTTAGTATTATCATTGATCGTCTAAAATTGAATTGAATGAAATTTATGATCTTGAAAATTGAATTTGATGTGTGCGGATTTTTTTTTGGTGACGATCTTTAGGTGCATGACGCCCGGTCTAATGGTACCCGCCGAGAACCCATTGCTTTGCCACAGTATGAACCATTCGGCAAGCTTTTTGTCATTGAAGTGTTGTAAGGACAGAGACTTCTGCAACGGTGACTTAAAGCCTACACTAACAGAAATTCCCCAAGGTAACTTGGACGAAAAATCACTACAGACTTGGTTACTACTATTATTACTCAGCTATCTCTAACCTTTCCAGATATATTTTATCCGTACATTATTATTTAAAAAAATCTTAATATTGTATATATTCTACCTTTTTTTTTATTTATTTGAAAATCTAACTGAATGAAAACTGCTCGCTAAAAAGTAGATTTTAAAATTCTTACTTTTTTGTTTTTGTGAAAATTTATATATATTATTTTTTTTTATTTTGCAAAGGCATTTTCTTCTAGCAGTAGCCTTGTTTTTGGACCTTCATCCACTTCCAGCATTTAACAAACACACGCGTGAGCACATATACTCAAAACACATTTTGGTTGATAGACCGGAAACACTGTTATTAGCACTTTTTTCCTATTTAGCCACCAAAAATGGGAATTTTGGAAATACGAAAGGGAATTCTAATTTACAATTTAGTAGCTTTTACGCGCTTTGTCTTTTCCAACTCTTCAAAGGTGCTAAAACAAATGGGTTCTTTACAAGCTTAGAGGCAAACGATTAAATTAGGATTTGTAATAATTTAATAATTAATAACATTTAATTTTAAATTTGAAATCGTTTTATTTTAATGAGAGGATTCAAATTTATTCATTTTGTGCAGATGTTTAAAGAACATATTTTTTAACCCGAAAGACAAAAGGACAGATTACTGCAAGGCAGAAGGTGTAGCCAATTATTCAACGTTTGCGACCGCCTGCTGTGATGACTCCGATTTTTGCAATTCGGGACTTGTTTTACTCTTGCCAATAGACGACTTACAAGGTACTAAAATAATTGTACAAAAAAAACAAATCGATTTCAAAAATTCAAAGAAGACGAACAACTCATTTTTATCAAATAATTTGTCAATGGGGTGTTTCATACATTATCACATTATTTTTCAATATGTTTCTTTTTTTTATAATAACTGTTTATATCAATACCAATACATATAAATCTGTTAATTATTACATTCATAGTGTATTTGTCTTATCATAAAAAATATTGTTTCGTATGTTCTTTGTGGAGTGGGTGTTTTTTAATTGTAATTATATCCGAATCATTTACAATACATTTTAGAAAAACTTATAATACAGATTTTAAAATAAAAATGAAAGAACAATAAACAAACTTCTTTTTTGTTTTTTGCGCGAATCAAAAAGTTGCGCCACTTAATCAACTATTCAGTTGCAGTGTAGTTAAAAAGAGTAAAAATAATCTTCTATTAAACACCAATTCTATTTATTTATTTTATTAATTACTATCCCGTAGAATGTCGCAATCGGCTCGTTTGGTATCAGGATCTTTGCGAGCTTGGTTACCTTTGTGCCATTAAGGACCAAACCAATATGGGCTGGCCGGCGATTCATCAAATTGAAAGCTATTATCGGTTTTGCCCTTACACGCATCTGTACGAATCTCTCTTTGCATTCGGCGCTATCCATGAAGGCTCCATTCTACAGTTAATACCGATAGTTAAAACCTGAGTCATAAAACCTGACTTTGTTTAATTAAAAAGAATCGACTGAATTCAATCACTTCAATATCAGAAAGGTCTCCATTGCCTTCATTAACCTCCACATTTTTGGCAGAATCTAATAATTATGAGCAATGAAAGTTATTTTACCAGCTCAGCCGAGTTCTTTTCGCAGTGGGAATAAAGCTGTAGGTGCTGAAGCTTTTTTCTGGTGCTGCACGCATACTTAGTATCTTAACCGCTACTTTGCTTAATGTCGACCCAAAAGAATTCCCCTTCCACCATACAACGGGATGTAGTTTTTCAAGGGATTTTATTCTCGTTCTCGAGAATATTCTTCTCTTTAATCTCTAATCAAGGGTTATTTTTGCAGAATGTACTGCGTATAATTGTTACGCCGAGATTTGATAACAACGTCGAAGATATCTGTACATTTAGAGCGTAACACAAATGATGCAATAAATACTGTATTTATCACAAAATTTGAATAACAAAGTATTTTTCTTTGTTTATATTTCCTCCTTGATTATTTACTTAATAAATGATTCAATGCAATTTAATTAATAGTAAAGATTATGTTAATTATGTTATAAAATATTTAATATCAAATGTAAATGATTCGGATAAAAATTACAATAAAATTGTGAAAGTCCGCTACATTCATGTAATGTGATTGTTAAAAATCTAAACATATCAAAAAATGAATTGATCATTGCCTAATTAGTGGTAATATTTAGAGAGAGGGCGGCGTTAATAACATCGCACACAAAATCAGCTTTTAACGGAAGAATTTATAGTATAATTCATAAAATGGAAAGCCTATATTTTAGATTTTTTTTAATTTCTATGTTTCAGAACGTCAGAGAATCAATGTATGTTTTAAAAAGTGCCAGACACTCGAAATCATAACTGATTTAGTAAATATGCCTCTTAGTGTTAATAAAAAAAAATAGAATCGTTTCTTTCTTTTTAGTTTGCATGTTTCTTTTGATATCCCACGCTTCGACCAAAAATCGTCTTCGCTACATTTTTGCTTTTCACATAATGGTCGTTTTAGCCTGTTTGCTTTTGAATTTAATGGGATCAAGGTAGGTCTCGGGTATGCTTTGATTAAGATTTTTTGCATGAAATTTTTTTTTTTGCTTTTTTTGTTTCTATTTTTTTGCTTTCATTGACTAACCATTAAAAAAAATAAAACGATTCATACATTTCTACTGTGTATGTTTTAAATTAATTGAATTGTTTTCAAGACACAGTAGAAATATGGTTATAATTGATAATTTAATTAATTTTTGTTTTAAACAAATTAGAGTCGAAATGGGGTACTGTGCAAATAGCAGTGGCAATAGCTGTACCATGCCTTGTCATCTGTTTAGTTGTATTAATTTTGGTGAAATGTTGGCATAACAAAAGACTACACATCCCACTGCCACCGGTTGAAGATAGCATGGAAGCACCGAACCTCCCCATTCTAAATTCAAGGGTTAGTTTGAAATATATGATTGAAATAACTACCAGTGGGAGTGGATCTGGTAAATCAAACCTTTTTTTTTAAAATATAAGGAATAAAATAATTTAAAAATTTAAAGGTTTACCTTTATTGGTGCAACGAAGTATTGCTCGGCAAATTCAACTTGTCGATACGATAGGACAGGGTCGTTTTGGGGAGGTATGGAAGGGACGTTGGAGAGGCGAAAATGTCGCCGTCAAAATATTTAGCTCGAGGGAAGAGAGGTCGTGGTTCAGGGAAGCGGAAATTTACCAAACTGTTATGTTAAGGCATGAGAATATATTAGGATTTATTGCAGCTGATAATAAAGGTAAAATAAAATTAATTCATTTTTATTTTATATTAAAATATTACCTGAACAGACAATGGTACCTGGACACAATTATGGTTAATAACCGACTACCATGAACACGGCTCTCTCTTTGATTACTTGGGTAAAACCACTTTGGATGTGCCCAGTATGATTAGAATGGCGTTGTCCATTTCCACTGGATTAGCACATTTGCATATGGATATTATGGGCACACAAGGTAAATATTTCTTTTATTGTAACTTAAAGTACTAATCAATTATTATTTTTATAGGCAAACCTGCGATAGCCCATAGAGATTTAAAATCGAAAAATATCCTTGTAAAATTAAACGGTACCTGCGCGATAGGCGATTTAGGTTTAGCGGTGAGACATGATGTTACAACCGATACGGTTGATATACCGCTAAATCATCGCGTCGGAACGAAACGTTACATGGCACCGGAAGTTTTAGACGAATCAATGAATATCGAACATTTCGATTCGTTTAAACGAGCGGACGTCTACGCTTTAGGTTTGATCTTTTGGGAGATTGCACGTAGATGTAACGTAGGTGGCATTTACGACGATTATCAATTACCGTTTTATGATGCTGTTCCACCAGATCCGACGATAGAGGAAATGAGGAGGTAAATTTTTTTTGATAAGTTCCATTTTGGATATTAATGTTATTTATCACCGGTTTTGTTTATAATCAGTCATCATCAGGAGTGCATACAAAGATACTTACTTTTAATTTTTATTTTGTTAGATTTTTATGTATTTCCTAGATTGAAACAGAGATTTTGGGCGCCGTTTATGTAGCACGTGCAAATGTTAAGAAAATAATCGCGCTGAATTAAAACTTGAGTCGCAGAAATGGATAAATTTTGGTATATATAGCCGCTTTGCTGGTGGCTCACTTGAGGTTATCGTTAGTCATCCTAAATACTATGCCTAATCGTCATCTCTCAAACAGTAAGATCGATGGCCGCGTCTGTTGACAATATTGAGTATACTCACATAACATCGCGCTGTGCGCTGTTCTCAGAGTGAAGCATGGATGATTTGATAGCGTCCCTATAAATAACTCCTGTTATAACCCAACCTTACCGTCGATCATTCAATCTAGCTGTTCCCCCAACGCATTTCGAAAGCTTGAGGGTTTTCCTAGTACTTAATCTAAGTGCTGAGTGCAGTTTGAAGTTAAGCTTGTCATCCAGCACTGCTCCTAAGTACTTACTGGTGTTGCTACATCTTGAAGAGTAGTTCTTCCCACGTTGCCAGGTTTAATATTAGCTTTTGTTTATTCCTCCAAGGGTTCTTAAGGGTATTCTTAAAATACATTTAGAACCTTAAAAAAAAACTCAAAAAAATTTTTTTTTGCTTAGAAATGTTGAATATCTAATCTAAATAATGTAATGCTAAAATATTAACAATTCGTGATCTTGTCAACACTCGGTGCTAGTGGTAGAAAGCTAAATGAACTGGATTAGATCATTTAATGAAACATCCTTCTTTACCACTCAATTCAGATGTACAGGGTGGTTCAAATTCGATGTCCGAATAGGCTATGTCGGGAACTGTAAGAGTTAGAAAAAAAGTAGCTTACATGTCTCACATTATATGGACACTTTTTTTACAGAGAATTTGATGACGTAGTCAAAAAAATTCTTTCGGTTTTAGATTTTGAGACATGACAATTTTCGTTTTTTTACATGGAAACAACCACTGATTATTCTCTTATTAAATTTGTTATTTTTTTCTGATTACAAAAATATAGGGTTCGACAGGTCTATTTTTTATTGTTTTAGAATGTAGCTAAAATAAATTTTTTTTAGTGTTGTCGAAGAAATTAAATTTACAGTTTCCTGTAAATTATGGTACTATAACTAAAAATTAAAAGAATAGTTCTCCAATTCAAAACAATGCAATCCATTAAATATTTCCGTATTGGTGTAATAAACATAATTATTTGTGTAAAAACAGAAGTTAATCTTCTTATTTAATTGTTAACTTTTTAGATTTTACCTACAGCTGCATAATTTACAGGAAACTACATTTCATTTCTTCGACGACACTAGATTTTTTAATAGTTTGTATTTACAAAAATACAACTTTATGTTATATCTCCAAAATTAATCAATCATTTCAAAACTAAACGAAATATGAGCATTTTTTGAAATCACGAATATTTCACTTTTTGGCTATAACTAAAAAACAAAAGAAGATTTTTGATCTTCGCGGGATTGGATTAGTCTCTGAAAAAGAGACCGGGACATGGCACCTACTTTTTTGTATCTTTTATAGTTTCTGAGATAGCCTATAATAACACCCAAATTTGCCCACCTGTACAAAAACACATTGCGATTTGTCCAGCAGAGAAAATGACATGATTCTCAAATTCCAACTATTTCCTGTTTCGAGGGTATTTATCAGACTCTGTCCAACAAATTGTAGTCTTTCTTTTCAGAACTCTCTGCAATAGGGAAATCTCTAAGTCTTGACTTTTTTTTATAAATCTTTTTCGATCTTGGTGGTATTGAAATATTTTTTTATATTTTTAGAGTTGTATGTGTTGAAAAACAAAGACCGAATATTCCGAACCGTTGGCAAAGTTGTGATGCACTTCATGTTATGTCAAAATTGATGAAAGAATGTTGGTATCATAATGCAACGGCAAGACTTACAGCACTTAGAATAAAGAAAACTCTATCTAACTATAGGGCTTTGGAAGAAATAAAAATGTAAAATTGTGGTAAGATAATAATTAATGATTTAAATTTAATTTTTTAAAAATCTTTTTGTTTTGTTTAGATGAAAATGTTTCACCTTTGTTCGTTTGTGGAAAATGTTAAAATAGTTGTCTAGAGATTTTTATTATCCCCCACCCCTTTTTTAATAATTAAAAATAACTCGGTTGTAGGTTGGTTTTATCGTTCCATTTATATCCTCCTCGTGTTAATATTAAAAAAAAATTAAACGTAAAAATAAAATTTATTTTTACCAGTTTTTGAAAGAAAAAGTGAATGTATCCATGAATAGGTCGTTTTATCGTATTACTATTAATCGAAAATGTGCTCCGTTTGTTGATTCAACAAATTTTATCAGGAAATAATGATCCACTGCCCAGTCCATTCCATTCACATTTCACAACATTTTCTATCCAAGTTCTCGACAGTTTCTTGTAAATTTATGAAGATATACCAAAGTCGATAAAAATAACTCGGTTATATCATACACTTTTTTGACGAAGATGAAAATAGATATTTAAATCAAATCACATTATTATGTAAAATGTAAATAAAATAGACGTCTCTTTGTTTAAATAAAAAAAAACGTATAAATTAATATTATTAAAAGAGGTATTCATACACATTGTTGGTGGTTTTGTATTTAAAATGTGTGTGTTTACCTTTTTTTGTTAATATAACACTTTCTCGTAATGATATGAATAGTTTTTCATTGTTAGTAGTTCCTAAATAATATTCTGCTTAGGATTCAAAAATAAAAAAACGTAATGATCAATTTCTATGTTATCGTTTTGAGGTAGATTTAAAATTAACTTAAAAAGAAAACATTGTTTAAGTTAGAAAGTAAATTAACTTTAGGTGGCTTATGCATATCTAAAAGAGAAAAAGAAAATATTTGGTGCATGGAGGAAAAGGTGAATTAAACGAAAAATATTTGAAAAAAAAATATATATTGAGAAGACTGATTTTGGAAGTGTTTTTTAAAAATTAGTTAATAATTGGCTAATTAGGATATATTTTTTTAGATATCAATAGGAGAGAAAGCGTTATAATTAGTTTCACCAAATTGTACCCAGTACAATTTAAGTTACAACAAATTATTAACGTTAACAAATATTCAAATTGTATTTTAAAAAGATTACACAAAACGTTACAACATCTTCGTTTAACATCAAAGATCTAAGTCACAAATATACAGATACATTCCATAGATTATTAAACAAAAATATTTTTCAAACTTTTTATTTATCATTATTCAAACAAAATAATATTGCTCAAGATTCATAAATAATATATCTTTAAGGTGTTAAAAAAATTTGTTGTAACGTATTACTAAATATTGTTCTCGTCTTTTTGTCAATATATATGTAAATAATAGTCATAGCACTAAACAAAGTTGAGAAATGACAAAAAATTGAGAAAATAATTAAAAAAAAGAAAAAACAAGAGCCGTTAACCAAGAATTAACGAGAGTATTTTTAAAAAAAGAAAAACTAACAATAGTGCTGTTTCGCATGGTACAAATTCGTGTCAGAGAGTTTTTATACAGAGATAAAAATTTGTTGTCGAGTTTTGCCGAGCGATGACGGTGCTTTATCGTAGCTGGACGTTTTTACATACACACAAAGACATAAATATAAAAGACTTATTTAAAGATTAAGAAAATATTAAATTTATTTGTTTTTCTTTAATCAGTCTTACAGTTGATTCAAAATTACAGATACAAATGTTTGAAAAAGAAACTGACAAATTTAAAAATTGTTAATATATATTTTATACTCCACATGAAGCGCGCCTTTTCCCTACATTTTTTTCTTATTAATATAATCTTATTCTTAAAATGTTGTACCTGTAATTCATGATCATGCTGTAAAAAAAATAGTATAAAATAATCTGTGATCCCCATATGTTAATATCGCAAATTTTTCGATTTTGTTAAACGATTAGCTACGCGTAGACACCGTCCGTAGAAAATATAGAGATTACGGTATGATATTAGAGAAAGTCGATAAAGAAACGAGTTTTCGAATGTTGTAGAAATTTACTAACCCAACTCCCTTTTCAAATCCATACACAAAAAAAAAGTTTCGGCTATCCCACCGAATGAAATTTTGCGTTTCTCGCCTAACACTAATAATTATTTAAAAAAAAACAAAGAAAAAGTTGTATAATTAATTGTATAAGTAATAAATACTCTAATCTCTATTCGTAGAATATAACTATATAATGAGAAAAGAAAGAATTCCTCAGGATGTATATGTACACAACAAATGCAATAGTTCTCATAACTTTATTATCAAAGTAATATATTTACGCTAGTGGTTTTTACCTTATCTTTTATTTTTGTTATGCCATGAATTAAAATAATATTTGTGGCTTAACTAATCGTTCTTACATAGTTCCGTTTGTTTTTTTATTCATTTTTATTGTACAGAGATGTTTTTTCGTGCTTAGATGCAAGTACCTATTATATTATACCATTTGTAAACGTATTTGAAAAATATATTAATCCGTAAAAAAACGATTTTATGTTGTTTTATCAAACGACTCCTTTTTGGAAAAACATCCTTTCATTAAGAAAAAGTCCACATATATTATATGTTTTGGTTTGAATAATTTATGTACTTGAATTAATTGATAATAATGGTTTAATCAGATAATTTAATTATCATAATTAACATATTTATGATGCTACACTATTTATCAAAGTAAAGATAATACATATATTTTAGCATGCCTGAATGGCTAAATATTAGATTTCTGTTCAATGTACAAATATCTCGTTTAGATCCATTTTTGGAGTTACTGTATAGTATTTAAAAACAATTTTGTTCTATAACGAATGAATTAAAATAATGTGCACAACTATCCGTGCAACAGGTCAAAGCCCCTTAGATGAGAAATCGATATCTTGGAAACCGGTCGATGAAAAAAATTGCTGTAAACTTTGTAGTAATCATTAAACCACTCGTAAGAGATGGTGCTGGTGTGTGTTTTAAGTAGACTGGATGTCGCGCCTTTATTTCGTTATGTGGGAAAAATAAAGGCGCGACGTCCAGTCTTAATGAGATACAAGCATAGTTGATTTCGTTTTTATTTAGTTGGTTGTAGGACGCAGGTCATTGGGATGTTCCAGGTTCTGATATCTGGTTTTTTTTAAGTTGTTTAATCTCGTTTATTATCATGAGTTCCAATAAGCCTTGCGAAGTCTCGTTCTATCACTGCTTCCCAATCAAGCACTTTCATTCGTAATCCTTGCAAACATCCATAATACTTAATATCTGATAACTAAGAAGTTTTACTCCACCCGAGCATAATGGGGGAATAATCATAAACATAAAAAATGTTGCACGATTTTAATGCTATTGTTGAATCTAAGACATAGAAAAGTTCCAGAACTTATTGTAAAGACGATTGTTATCATATCATTATTGACTATGTCAGATAGAATCATGCCAGGGATAATAAAATTTCTCGTTTTATTCTTTATTTTTAACTAGGAAACATAACAGAGTCATAGTCTACAACATAATTCATTAAATCATAATTAAAAATTACTCTATTTATTTCAGTAGCCAACATATTTTTCCCCTAAAGTAACAATTCACTATTCTATTAATATAGGCAACTCTAATAACATCTTAACAAAAATTAAATAATTTTTTACAATTAATAGTAAATTTATCTTTGTTTCTTCCATATATATGTAGGTTAATGTATCTTCGGAGGACGCAGTTCGTTACGGTTATCGTTGGGCGTTGAGTGCATTTTTGTTAATAATCCTGCACCTGGAATTGATTGCAGACTAATTGCTGTAAAGAGCTGAAAAAGGTAAAATGAATATTTTCAAGCATAATAGATTCGTGAAGATTAATATATCCTGATTAATCAATAGCGTGTAGATATTTCAAGGGATGGTAAAATCTACACATCAATCATTAATACCCTGTAAAATGTGCGCATGTTTAACATGCCAAGGGTGAAAGGTATCCTTATATTTAAATCTATTTTATCCATATCAGGTTAAACATGCGCGTGATATATGGAGCTCACAAGTATTGTATCGAGGTAAATGTATGTGTGTTTGACCTCACTCAATTAATTTATATAATTTAAAATAATACGTGGTTAGATTAGGTTATTAACAAAAAACATATTTATTAACAAACTCATATTTTTAGAAAACTATATACAGAAAAAATATTAGTTTCAAAGGTACGTTATTTTGTTTATTACATTAAAGATTAAAACCAGGTTTATTTTAGTTTTCCAAGAAGTGTATTTAAAGAAATAAAAATCACAATAAACAATAAAAATACATTCTATAAAATTATATATAGGTACAAACGTTGCTTTGAAATAAACCAAAAGGAAACATTAAGTAGAGAAATGATGTATGCAACACGTAACAATACATTCATACAGTGTTATAATATTGCAATCATAAATAATAAAATGAAAACATATTGCTTTTAGAACAAAAAAGAAGACAAATGTGAGTTACATAAATGACAAAAGATTTAGTTGGTGATGTGAACAAATACAACTATAATATACTATATAACGTTAATTTTTTGATTATTTATTTATCTTGAATTAAAGTTTTGCATTTGGTTAGATAGGAAAGTTAACAGTAACAACATTAAAAGCTCTTTTATACAAATCATTTCTTTTTTCGTACTCTTTACATTTTTTTTATGCTTTAAAAGCTTGTCAATAATTTTTTTCTTGACTAGGAATTTTATTTAAAATTTTTAGATTAATACATATTCGCGAAGAATTTTCAACTTTGATGTTAAGCCTCGCTCGAAGTTACTTGACTTACAGTAGTTCGATGTGTGGAGGTACCCATGCTGTGTGCTCGAGTTGATCTTCCCATAATTTGTAAGTATCTAAATTTAAATAAAATTTAAATAGCAAAGAAAGAAGTTTAATGAAAATTGTGTATACAAACCGTTTCTTTAACATTATCCATATATTCTTCTTGAAAACAAAGATGAAAAAGATCAGTACTCCATACATTGCATTGCAAAAATCGGTTATGTACCAAATGTAAGTTGGAACATTGTTTGATTGCCATTGAACTAACCATGAAATAACTTCCATTGACCAATTTACACCCATTGCAAACAAAAGTTTTATGTATAAGTTAAATCTAAAATTTGGAATGAAATGATTAATATGAGAAGAATACACAAATAAGCTTATATAATCACAATATTTTCCTATTTGATATTTATTGAAAACTTGAAGCATGAAAATGATTACTTTTTGACAAAGAGTTGCACTGTTTTTTGCACACCTTTGTGTATGATTTCAGAGATAAATATAACAAGTTTTACTGTTTGCGTAATTGACAACATTCAAAAAAATGAAACATATGGTGGTGAAAGTTTGTGCATAAATATAATCGACAATTTTATCTAATAACAATAATAACGAAGATCCGCTTTTGAACCTGTAGTGTTTAAAAGCAGTTGTTTGATACATGGCATCAAGAAAAGATGACTTCCTGTTATGTGTTCAACCTACTTGAGGTCTATAAATAGGATTATAAGAAAATATTTGTCAAAAATTGCTTGATATTGAGGCAATGGTTAAGAAACGATTTCGAGTTATTGACGATGTTATTTAAGAATTGAGTTATTATATTTTTGTAATGACAAGAATGTGATTAGTAATAATCGATTCATTTTTGAAGACAATATTAATAACTTGGGTTGTTTTATGATTGGCTTTGATTATATGAACACGTTCGGTTCCTTCTACGAGCTTTTTCAACCCTAAAGATCATTATAGAAATATCTTAAAGCACAATTTTAAAGTTTAGGATGCAAATTTGTGATGCTAAAATTCTAAACTCATTTTTGAGGTTCATTACAATCAACAATAATTAATAAGTTTAATCATTAAGTTTGTTTTAAATGAAACAATCTATTTTGTTATATGTAGTTATGGGCTAATGATTATTATAACAGTTAATTTTGACACACAGTAAAGAACAGTGACAAAGGACAAGATACAATAGCAACATTGTTAGTGATCGTTTAAAAGCTTATGATCATTATGAAACATACCCTAAACAGCTATTGTCCACGTCCAAAAAATCGTACACTTGCATGCCACGGTTCTTTACTGGTTCAATTAAATAGCAGGGTTCGCTATTGTATTCGTCAATCCTAAAATGAATCATTATTTTGATGGATACTACGAATTTACCCTATTCTATGTCAAATTTCGTTTTGTTTATTTAATACAAACACGTATTTCTTAAATTACCTTTGTTTGTCCTTTTCGTGTTTCGAACTGTCTTTGGCATTTAAAACTTTTGTATCGCGTTGTACGTTGCGAATTTTTAAAGCGGTTATCGCAAATAATACTATGTTGGTTATTAAAAGAATGGCTATGGGAAAGTAAAAGTAAATTCCGGTTGAGAGTCCATCTAAAAAAGGAATGGAGTAAAATTATTAAATTTTTTTCAATAACAAGTTTTTTGAGACATTTACTTTTAAACCAACATTGACCGTCTCCGATTGCGGTGAAGAAAATGCTATCTTTCAAATGCTCCATTGTCATCACTACGACAATTGACGTCATAATCAATGGTAAACCCCATGAATATAAACAATAATAAATAAAACGTTTTCTTTCTTGAGTTCTTTGTCCGGTTATGCCTTTTATTCCGCTAAAAGATTTAATTTTTTGGTAATTACGTTAATCTTTGAGTTGATGATAAAAAGACTTACCTGAAGGTTAACCAAATATCGATACAACTCGAATTCATCCAAAAGAATGATACCATGAAGAAGAAGTAGCATAAGTAAGCTAATTTATAAAGAAAAAAAATTCTTTTTTGGAAAAAGATTCAATCAAAAACTAAATTTTATGTATAACTTACCAATTGTAACACATGCACCATGCTCCAAATTTGAATTTAATTGAATTGTTACCAACATTATATAAGCAAACAATAAAGATAAAACGTAGCACATTAATGATTTCGCCGGGAGATTTTTGTCTGGAAGAAGTGCGTAAACTAGGAATGTTGCGATCAAAAATGGCATCGATATTATCATTCCTGAAAAGAAATAAATATAATTAGTGTGTGTGAAAGATTTGATTTTATACGGTTATTTTTTTATGAAATCTTTAAATATTACCAACGTACCAAGTTCGCGATTATTTTTTAATTCTAAAAAAATATCAAAATTTTCATCCGGGAAACATATCGGAACGGAAAAGCCGTAATCTTTAAAATAATCTAAACAGTATTCGTTTACTGTTAAATTTTCGCTACAAAATCGTCTTGAAACGTTGTAATGCAAGGAAAATGTAATAAAATTATTTTACAATTTGGAAACAAATAAACATTTGGTTAAGCTAACGGGTTTATCATATTCTTCTTATCTGTTTTTTATTATGATGACTGATTTGTTTTATTAATATTATTATTATTATGTCCAAAGCTTTTAATAAAAATAACTAACAATAATAAAATTAATAAAATTGTTATCAATATTGTTACATCGCAAGATGATTAATTATTTTAGGAATGGTTTAACTGACTTTTTTTCTTCATTAACTTGCCACTTATCCAGCAAAACTTAACTCTTGATATCCGCAATAATATAACCACTCAAATAAGTAAGGACTTCTTACTATCATTAAAAATTGTAACAAATGTAATTTTTAAATATTGAACATAGGGATAAAGCAACGTATAGGCTCACATCTTGTTATTGAACCTAAGTTAGTTGCAAACTTCCCCCAAATTTGAGGGATTAAAGTGATGGGAATCCTAAATCACAAAATTTATTAATAATTAATGAAAAGAAACGAATTTATCGCAACTCTAGGAAATAAGAAGTGTAGACTGAAAAGAAAGTGTAATAAAAATATATAAAACTAGCGATTTAGGAATGTAGATGTAGATGAAATGAGAAGAAAGATGATCTCTTGCAGAAAAATCCAATTTTGCAGAAAATTTAATTAAGGTTGAGCTAATACTAAAGCTGTGCCAAACGGTGTTTAGTAAGAATTCTGAAGGTTTATTACTGACACCAACGTTCTCATGAATGGTATCTGCAAGCTAGCATTTAAAGATCACAATACTTATAGGCGGACTCGTCATCGCATCCTGGTTTTCGTCGCTATAAAGACAGACACCGAATAGCTGTAAAAGAATTCAAGAAAAGTATAGTTCTTCTTCAATGCAAGGGTTGGTGTAAGCAAATTAAGAGATTCTAAAAGAGAAGTTCCATGTCATCAGTGGCTGTAGAGAGAGAGAGCCGGCGGAGTGAATGAATTGTAGTGATTCTCGCCAACCTAGATGGTGATTCCATAAACCAGATTCATTAAAAATTTTGGACGAGAAAATTTTAGACACTGGAGTTTGCGATGATAGTAGTTTTTTCTGCATTATTAATTGCAGGGGTTGTGCACAAGGACCGGCCTCGTTCCAATAAATTGGCGAGATTAGTCAGTTATCACCAATCCACAAATTAAAGGTCAAAAATATAGATAAGCTTCTAGCGCAATTCCAGGAATACTGCTGATGATAAGATCAAATCAGTGATATCTGGCTGTTTGAGCGATACAGGGGTAACTAGTCTCTAAGTAGATGAGTAATATTCAACGACTTTAACTGATTCCTTAATAACTTCTTATAAAAAGGCTATTTCGTTCCAGTTGGAAGTTAACTCAGTATCTGTCTTCAAAAACTTCAAAAATGTAGTTGCGAAGAGTTGCAATCTGCACGTAATTTTTAAATTAAAAAAAATAATAATAAAATCATTATCAATAGGTACAATAAATATACGAAATTCTCTGAGAAACTTTTAGTCATTTATCTTTTCTAGAATACTTATATTAAGATAAGATTTTGTTTGCAAAGCATGAAGAAACATCTTTTTTTAATTAGATATTGTTTACCTATGCTATAGTGAAATAACGGGACTGAATGATCCTCTTCAGAACAAATCACAGCACTCAATTTTGTCGGCGGAGATCCAAAATAGTCCAAGCAATAATCGCGATGATTATATTCTTCAAACCAATACAAATTACCGTTTGGTAACACATTAAAGTTATCATCGTAGTTTAATTTAAATCTTGACTTTTCACCACAGTCAAGCATCCCATTGATTATATGAAAAGAATCGAACGGTGTCGAAGAATTTATTAATTTTGCTTCAACGTCTTTCATAAAATTGTGATTTAAATTTGTAGTGCATGCTTTATGTTGTAGAGTTTCGGTTAAAGGGCAACATTTTCGCACGCAAAGTTTAACGTCACAAATACAACCGTAGATAATCCCGTTTTCGATATAATAATTATCAGGTGCGTATTTTATGTTGTCTTTGATGATGTGATCTTCTTCTTGTAAGCCGTCCGAAATATCGATCGTTGGATGGCACTTTCTGGAATCGGCCGAGTGACATAGCGATGCCAAAACGAAAAAAATTAACACAAACACTAAACCGACATGCATTATTATTGAACGATACCGTTACGTTTGAGTAACTTAAGTCAACGTTTTAGTTTTTAATCTTATCTTTTTAATTTTATCATTATCACTTAGATTTCATTATTGTAAAAAATAAATATGTTCTTTGTAGTCCAGGTTATTGATACACCCCTTTTTTGTTCTTTACTAAATCGTTACTAAAACTTTCGAACGAACATTAATTGAAAGTAATAAAACGACTAATTAAATGTAAATTATAACGTTCGATTAAATTTGCATTAATAAATTAATTGTACCTGTAGTTGTAGTCGATGAAACTTCAGCGAGATCTTTTAAACAAAATAAAACGTTGAATACGGAAAAATCTTGGAAATAATCCATACAATAATTTTCGACGTTGTAACTTTCTTTTCCATAAATTAATTTTCCGTCGCGTTCGATGAATAACGTTTTCCTCAAACTTTTCAATGCCAAAACTCGATTTGTTGAACATTTCAGAAAACCATTCACCTTATAATAATAACTTAAATTTTCCACCGAAGATAAATCGAAATAATCGTTAAATTTTCGGTCAGAATTCGTACAATTTTTGTTGCTAATCACTTGTCCATCAGGGCAACATTTTCTTATACAAGATTTTATTCTACAAACACACCCGAAAATTTGTCCATTTTTTTTGTAATAATTTTTAATAGAGTAAGTATCGTTATTGATTGTAATCGAACCGTTTACATCCGTTTTACCGTCAGTTATATCAACAGTGAAATAACAAAATTCATTGCAAACTGATTGATTAATAATTAAAATGAAACAAAATAGGGCGAGTGATTCAATCATCGCTTTCAGCTTTGATACTAACCTGAAGAGAAATCAGAGTTCTGAATATATCTCTCCCCCCTTTTTTTTGCTTTTTTTCTATTGGTGAGGAAATAACACGATTATTAAATTAATTATAATTTCTTAATGAATATCAACATGTCATTTTAGTAAGGTATTAACGATTTAATTACAGCTAAAATGTTTTTCTTGGGGGGTTATTTTTAATAAATGTGTTTTGATGATACGAAATAACTTACCACGCCTTTTAACCAATATTTAATAAAATTACTTAAAAAGTTGTTTGTGCTTATATAAAAATCATTTGTTTAAAAATGAAAAAAGTTTTTTACGGATTAGATTAGACCTGAATCAATGTTGACTTCATCATTAACGTGAAATTTAATTATGAGATATTATTGTTACCTCTCAGAAATCCAGAGTGCTTTATTGTAATATGACCTGAGCATGAGAGGTTTATTTATATCGTTAAATTATTTAAATTTGACGGTCTAAAGAAGAAACCAGAACAATTTTATCTTGTGAACATGCTTGAGTTTAATGTTCAACAAATTAATGATGGATATGTTTTTTAGAAATTACTCATCAATGCATTGATAACATAGTTACACAAGGCCTACAAATAAGACGAAGGTGACATTTATATGGATGTTGTAAATCAGTATTCACAAATAACTCGTAATCTACATTAAGCTATCTCAGAGGAAGCAGAGGATACGATTCTACATGGGTTGATTTGTAATTAGATATAAATATACTTGTGATGAAATTTAATAGCATTTCATGTTTTCATACGATTTGCTGAAAGAGTAACAAGACAAAATAATGAGTCCATATCAGCATCTATGCTCGCAGACTTTCCAAAGAATTGCCTTTGAATTTTGAAAAAAAAACAGCTGATAAACATCTTCTAATCTCCCTTTCATAATAATGAAGAAGTAAATAAAAAAACGTACTATGTGATAGAGAACTTGTACCTTTGCTACACTTATAAGTTTTATGTCGAAAAGAAAATCAATCGCCAGTCGTGGACTTTCTATGAAATAAGTTTAAATATTTACGTTCCATCATAAACCAAAGCAACAACATCGATAGTGAAGTAAACGCCCGAATACTAGCAGGGAATAGAGTAGCTTTTGCGCCAAACGATCCAAACTTTTAACAAGACGTTGTAAAAAAAGGCTGTACAAGACGGTCATACATCCTGTAGTAAATTATAGTTCTGAAACATGGACGAAAGATATTACGAAGGATATATGGGTCAAAATATGATAACAAAATATGATGAATATGACAAAGCTGGGAGGATGAAGACAATTAATGAGCGGAGTAAAAGAATGCAGGAAGGATCAAAACTATTAATGTGGATTAAACCCAGATCATATCCAGAGACGGAGGTGGCTGGGACACGCGTGGAGAATGCTGACAGAGAGGGTGGCGTGCAGAATCAAGAGGAAGGCCAAGTGGGCGATGGACAGACAATGTTAGGGAGGATTTGAGGGTCTTGCAGGTGTAAAACTGGGGTAATTTAGCCCGAAATCGAGACCTAATGCAAAAGTCAGCATTCTTGAAACTCCTTCCTAATCAATTGTATGCGAGACACTCACCTCTCTTTAGAATACTGCAGTAGAAGTTTTTAGCAAAAGATTCTGATTTAGCACCACAAACAATTAATCCACCAAGCAAGACAATTCATTACGTAAATTAGGTAAGTAATAGTTGACATAGCTGGGATTCAAGAGAATGCAAAAACTCATTTACAAAAATATAAAAGG